TGAACCAACTACAACGAAATGGGAACAATTCAAGAAAGAAGTTCGTCGAAGAATGCAAGATCCTCCATTTTTCATAACYCTTGCTGAATCTGAAAAGGTCAAATGACTCTCATATCTGATTGATTTACAAATAGATTATTATCATTTGTAGATTCTATACAATAAAAATAAGGATATATCCTTATTTTTATTGTATATAATTTGTACAGCATATTATGTCATTTGTATTCTATTTATGAGTTCGCGCTATTATTGTTACTGAGAGCACTTCTCTGCACGTTTAGGTTGAAGTTTATGCCGGAGCCATCTACGATGCCATCTATTTGTATGCAATCGCGTTAAACGAAACATTGGCAGCTGGAGGCAAAAAGAAAGATGGCAAATCAATTGTAGGCCGAATGATGAGCAGAGAATTCGAGGGTGGGTAGCCGAACTGAATACGAGTTATAGCAACACCCAAACAACCATTTCAAAATGGCGGTTTCGAAATTTTTCGCCCAAGAATTCATAGTGCAAATTGCAAATGATGAAATAGAAAACATTAAAGGAGAGGCAAAACATAACGTTAAACACACTATAAAGTAACGATAAAACATTTTTTCTAGGAGCWTCAGGTCAAGTGAAAATTGATTCTTCTGGAGACAGGGAGCCCGACTATTCACTTAAATACTACGTGAATGGTAGTTTTCAAAACATTGCWGATTACAACCATTCAACAGGAGGTTTTAATCTACGAGGTACCTTGTTCCCTTACTTTATTTAGAAGAAATTCAAGTTGGTAAAATAGATTATATTATTTCAGTATGCTTGCGGTTTTCCCACMCGAGAACTGCTTGTTCTCCAACCATCAAAAACTAGATTAGTTTTCATGATGGCAATGGCAATGTTCTATGCATGTTTCTGTGCCATTATACATGCTTTTTACGCAATCGTATAAATCTGCTTTAKTTACGGCCGAGAYTGACACTTTAAAAAGATTTTATATTTTTGTACCTTTTTTTCTGTCTGTGTAGATGTTATTGTSATTTGGGCTGGAGGAAGGACAACACCTCCAGCTGATCACCCTCCTTGTGGATGGGTYAAYGAACACTGCGTAGAACAAGACCAGGAAGGTAAAGTTTTTCTATTCGTCGTTGAATTGTGCTGTAATGGTTTCATTTCTTAATTTGGGTATTTTTCAGCTTCGAGGTTGATTAACGTTGCCATTGGTAGCGCAACCGCTGGTGTCGTTGTCCTGGCTTTGGTCTTCATTGTCATCACCCGGTATTTTGATAGATACATGTGATGTTTGTCATTTTCAGTTTACCGAAAGTCTATAAATTGTACTGTGCATTTTGAATCTTTGACCATCTTACTTTTCTAAGCACGTTAAATGCTAATATAAGAGTTTTCAACCATCGGACATTCGTTTTATGGTGATATTTGGATACAGAAGTATTTTGGTGTAAATCATAACAATAACAGAGGCGCGCAAAACATAATGGTGCAAACTGGTCCTTAAGTGCAGATTCTTGCAGATTTAATTTGCCATAATTAATCTAATTGATCTAAAGCAATGGAGCAACCACGTCCATATTTATTCACTTCGATAGACTAATGTAATCCTTTTAAATCTCCATTTTGTTATTTGCAGAAAACTACGCTATGAAATCGACTTGGCTCAAAATATGACATGGAAAATCAAATTTGATGATTTGAAGATACACTCCTTAGAAACAGAGAATGAATATCTGGAAGAAGATACAAAAACAAATTTTCTTATGCGTTCAATACCGGTAAATACTCGATCGCTTCACCCCTCAAGATGATAGATTTGGTGCCATTATTTAGAAAGAGTCTGACTTTATACAGAGTTGATGAAAAGCAAGGCATGCAATGCACTATAAATTGTAACGTTTTCAATGAGCAACTAACAACTGAAATGACGCATCTCAAGAGGTTTAAGGCGTTAATTTCCTTTGAAATCTATTTAACAGCAAATCGAAAGCGAAGCTGAAAGTTCTCGGAAACCAAATCGAAGCAACTTTGCAAACGCTGCCAAGGGTTTTTCGCCTTTGAGCAGGAAAGCACGCAACCAAGAAAATATCAACATTAACCAGGAAGGAGAGCGTGTTACCGATCTTGCAGAATTTCAGGTGCGTAAGTATGTCAAAAGAATAGTCACGCCGTGGTCCAAAACGGCATTTTGTTTATGGCGCGCGAAAGGACCATGACTCTGGCCAACCTTAAAATCATTTTTGTTGTTTTTTAGGGACGAACTGTGGTAATGAAAAGATTAAGTAAGAAAAGCGTTCACTTGTCCCGAAAAGTTCTCATTGAACTAAAACAGGTATCGTTGGTGTTTAAACTGCATATTGTCTTCCAGTTTCTTTAGTATTCAGGGGCGGATTTAGGGGGAAACATAGGGACCACGTCCCCTCTTTTGCTGAATATAGGAAAAAATCGTTGTCAAAATCCGTCAATTTCTAAACTTTCAGTGGAACACCCCAGACCTCCCTAGTTCCGCGTTCTACTGGATCCGCTGCTGTTTGTTGAGTATTTTTCAATGATCGTTTTAGGTAAGAGATATAAATCACGAGAACTTGAATACATTCATTGGAGCTTGTATCGAGTCGCCAAACATTTTGTTGGTGTGGTCACACTGCAGAAAGGGGAGCTTGCAGGTACAAGTTTAATCATTTCAATACCATCTTTCTAAACAAGCAATGATATCCAATGGTTTTCTATCGATAGGATGTGCTGAACAACGATGAGTACAGGATAGACGAAGCTTTTAAAATGTCTATGTTTGTTGATATMTCTGCTGTAAGTACAATTTTTTGCTGTGACGCAACGCAGGAGCAAATTCCAGGAAATTCCTAATTTTGTAACATCTGATCGTTTTAGGGAATGAAGTTTCTTCACGGCAGCCCAATCAAATTCCATGGTTCTTTGACGTCATCAAAATGTGTGATTGACAGTCACTGGGTTGTAAAGATTACTGATTGGGGCTTGCATAACTTCAAAGCTGGTCAGGAGAAAGAYCACGTTGAAAAGGTTTCCACTGGTAAGTAACCTGTGATATTCTGTAATAAAATCTTTCGAGAAGATACTCCGTTTTTATACAGTCAATTGTATTCTAGTCAACTGTTTCGGAAAAATATTATTTATGGAATGGCAAATTCATGTAAAATGTKAACGGAACTCGTTGATGATATTGGTATTTTGCTGACAACTTTTCCTTAACCTAGAATTATTATGGGCTGCTCCTGAACACATCAACTTGTCCAAACTTGAAAAAGGAGGGATGTCCCAAAAGGGCGATGTGTACAGTTTTGGAATCATTCTCCAGGAAATTTCGACCAGAACTGGACCATTCAATGACTGCGGATTGGAACCACAAGGTGAACTAGAATACATTACTTTTTATGGTAAAATATGCTAAACATACGGCAACCCTCCGTACACAAAAAATACCATGAATGAACCCGCGAGATAATTTTATTTTCACAGAAATTATTCAGCGTGTTAAAGCTCACGACGACCCACCTTTCCGTCCAAAATTGTCAACAGAGGAAGTTCGTCCAGAAATCATGCAACTGATGTGTGAATGCTGGAACGAAGACCCTGAAGAAAGACCTCACTTTCTTCGCATTTGTGAACGTCTTAAGAAAATCAGTGGAAGACTCAGGTAACACACTTGTTGTTTGTGGCTGTTCATGAGAAGGAAACGCATTTTCTATTATTTCAGCGGTGCTTATCGAACAGCGCTTATTCAACAGTTTGGCCAATATTGAACTGTATTATAACGAATGAAAAAGCAATTAGGGATATCTTTATTGATTACCACAGGAATACGAATTTCATAGAGAACATGGTGTCAATGATGGAGAAACATTCCAACCACTTGGAACAACTTGTGGAGGAAAGAAATCGTCAGTTGAATGAAGAAAAAGAAAAAACTGATCGTCTTCTTTGCCGGCTTCTACCACAGTAAGTTGATAGAACAGGCCGTGTCGCGCTATGAAATTTTCTTTATTTTTTTTAAACACCGGTGTAGATGAATCTGCATTGCTACATGATTGGTATTGTATAGCCTAATTAACCTAACATTGTCAGTTGTCTTGTTCTTGTAGACCAGTTGCCGAACAGCTGAAACTTTACAATTCAGTTCAAGCAGAAGAGTTTGAAGAAGTGACCATTTTCTTCAGTGACATTGTTGGTTTTACTAAACTGTGCTCTAACAGTCAGCCCTTGGAGGTGAGTGAACGAACATTTCTACAAGAATGAACTGTTGCATTTCTTTGAGACTTACTGTCAATATTTTATTTTTTAWAGGTTGTAGATTTCTTGAATGATCTTTATGTGGCATTTGATGAAATCATMTCTAATTACGACGTTTACAAGGTAACGGCACGTCAATCATAATTCAGTTTGCTGCTCCTTATTGCTTTTCATCCTTTTTCAGTAAAGTTGCGGAGACTGTATCCAATTCCCCTTTATTGCCTATAATTGTATAATAATTGTTAAAAGATAACTGATATTAGTTTTAAAAAAGCGTCAAGACAAAAACAATTTTTCCGTTTAAAAGTGAAGTTCATTTCAACAGGTTGAAACAATTGGTGATGCGTACATGGTGGTCAGCGGTTGTCCAGTATTGAATGGTAAAAATCACGCTGGGGAGATAGGTAGCATGGCTCTTGACGTGTTAAGTAGCATGACTCAATTTACGATACGCCATCGTCCTGATGAACAACTCCAACTTCGCATTGGGATCCATACAGGTGAATTAAACAAGAAAAGATTTCTGTTTTGTTTTCGTAACGTATTTGGCTAACCGGACTATCCGTCAAATGTGAGACTTTTCCATTTTGCAACTTTAGAATTAGACAATGATAATGCTGCTCACAATGAACTTGGAACCAATCGATTGACGTTTCTTTTTTTCTATGATCTTTTAAGGTCCAGTTGTTGCTGGTGTCGTTGGTGTCACCATGCCAAGATACTGTATGTTCGGCCATTCAGTCAACATTGCCATGAAAATGGAAAGCACTGGAGTTGGTAAGAACCSCACTAACAAACGGAATTACACAAAATCATTAACTAATGTTCATTCCACTGCCTGAATATAGGTCTTCGTATCCATGTGAGCAAGGACGCACACCTTCGCCTTGTTGAACTTGAAGGCTTCTTCTTCGAGGAAAGAGACGAAGCCAAATCGAAGGTAACATTTGCTAAATATATCGATGGTCGTGGAAAGTGAATGCTTTTTTGTTTCCTGACCGTCATTGGTCGCGTTTATGGTTATAGATGATCTGACCACCTCTCGGCCTGAGCAAGATTTATCCCATTTCAGAATTCATTGTCTTACTTGTTTATCTTCGATGGGAAACAAAGAATTATATTTCCAAASGTTCTAAAATGAAACAAACACTGCCCAAGCCGAGTKGGAGCGTTGATTTACACCATTCCGTCATTGAGTTGAAAATTAAAGTGTTTATTGTATATTATGTTTTTCTAGAGTCTTGGCATGTCAACTACTTACTGGTTGGTTGGTAAAGAGGGCTTCAACAAACCTTTACCTGATCCAGCACCAGATATCAGTGAACAGGTCTTTGAGACATTGGAAAGACTCTTTTACTCAGTCTGAATTGTTGACTGATGACCTGAAGAAAGGAAGAATTTCAATTATTATTCACTTAGTTTCAAAATATTTAATATTTATTATAAGAATCGGATAATCATTCTCTGGCATGCATTCTCAGAAAAGTGGCTTGTTTTTAAGATATTCATATTCTGAGACTCTTATGTTATCATTTCTATTGTAGAAGTCTAAATATCCATATAGAACCTTGGTAGAGCGGATTTCGTATGACTGCAAAAAACACGGTACTTTCGTGCTGTGACCGTACCGTGCCGTAGCGGTGATGTATTGTTAAATCTTTATTTTTATTTGAAATCCTAGATGTTGTGATCCGTGCCGTTACAGCAACGGGCTGGAAACTAAAATTTTATATGGAAATCGAAGAGTTGGGGAAACGGTTGCATAGTCATACGAAATCCGCTCTATTACTTATTGAAAACATTGCCTTTAGGGAAAACTTCGGAATTTATTTCAGACAGTACTTGTACCCCCTTGATCCTGACTCTTTCATACATCCACTGGCATTACATAATCCATGCAATAAGAATGCGATGATTACTTGAATATTTTCTCTTGTTTGTAAAACATCGGAATTAGAGTGCAAGTCACATAAGCATGAAACAATTCCTAACTATGTAGTGCTAAATAAGATTTAGTTATCAACTAAGAATTGAGAACAACGCTACAAAGGAATTTAAATAATTGGCATTGTGTTGATGCTTTGTTGAATTCTTAGTTAGTTGATAACTAAATCTTATTTAGCAATAAATATTAAGAATTGTTTCATGCTTATGTGACGTGCTCTCTAAATGCAGGTGTACTAGTATTGTTGTTTGTCTTTCAGACAGTTGATATAGTAGCAGGAGATTTCCACAAGGAAATACCTCTTGTATCAGCAAATAAAACTTGCGCTAAGTTCTGATGCAAATTCATTGCCAATTTGAGATTTAAACGTTTCTACTTTATGATGTTTAGTTTTCCAGTTGCCTTTCTAGGGTTTAACAGTTCTCGGTATGAATAAAAGTTCTGAACGAGCTTTCAAAATCTACTGTACGAATTACAAATCCGGACTGCCCTATGAAAGAAAGACTTTAGACTCAACATTTAAACATGACTTTTTTAAGGCTGATTTACACGGCACGATTGTCTCGTGCGACTTGAATCGCGCAGTGTAAATGCCCCTACGACTTGTGTACAACAGTCGTACGCAACCTACGACTTGTAGTAGGATTTTGAACCACTGCTTTTAAAAATCCTACGACTTGTAGTAGGAAAATCGTATACTACAAGTCGCGCGCGACAAATCGTGCCGTGTGAATCAGCCCTAAGTGCACACGCTGTCATTTCCATGCATATTCAATTCATTTGTGCTAGATTTATTCAAGGTTTATTCTTTTTGTAGATCTTCTTGGGTGTCATGCCTAGTATGATATACTCTTTAATTTGTAAATTATTGTCCGCATTATCCAAAARWWAWWAATAAAATATMTAAAATAAAATAGTGTAMTATATTGTCTCCTTCTCAATGAAGCCTTTGAAAAACTAATGTAAATCACCTGTTACCAAGTATGTATTCAGTCATTGGAACCAAGAAATATAGATTTTCTTCGACTTTGTTTTTCTTAACATGTTGACTAAAAAGCAGTACAAAATAGGGAAAACCTTTTAATATATGTACGCTGAAAAATGGAGAAATTCTTCCTGATGCTATACATGCCTATAAATAAGATGGGATTCAGCAGGATCTTACGGAACTCTAGTAACAAGCACAGAGCATACGTTGATATAACTAGGGGTCTGTCTCCACTTGGCTGGATACTGGCCCATATCGGCAAAACCTCGGCATCAATCAACAGTACCACTATTTCACCTGTTCATATTCCAAATTCTTTGGAACGATAATCAGTGCCTTGATACCGCAAGATTTCAACGAAGCGCTCTTGAGTCCGAACTTGCAAACTTAGGATGTTTGTTTTTGTTGTTTTGCTATGATAATCTGCCGGGTAAAACTTAAAGCTTTTCCACTGTTGCACTTTACTGTGGCTTCAGTAGCCTCAACGCGGTGTAACCTACCAGTTTGTAATAAAAGCAGTGCATTGGAATAAAAGAAAAAGAAAATAGAATAGCTGTAGATCCTAAAAAAATACACTCTGACAGTTATTGACTATTACGCACACAATCGAGGCTTAACCTGAGCAAACGAAAACTGGGAACTGGAGCATTTTGTTACTTCTAACTGGACGAGATATCAAGAATACTATTTTATTGTCGCAAAAAGTATAATATGGGAGAAAGTGGAAACACTATACACTCTAACAGTTCCTGTTATGCAATGAGTAATATTAGCTCAGCCTGTCAAAGTTATTTCATCAAGATAATTTAGAAAACTGGGACTTGTATACTGGGACATTTATTAATCACTGACGTCAAATTCATGGCAATTATMATTATCACTGCTCTCATTGGCTATATTTGGTAAGTTCTCTGAACACTGAACGTAAGAGTAAAAAAAACACAGTGAGAGTGAGTTGTTTTCGCTAAGATATTTCGTACGATCCCCGCTTTTTGGTACGTAGTTTTAACAAGATTCGACAACTTAGCCGATAAATAGCGACAAATATAGTGTCGCCAARATGAGAACCCTTTTCTCGGCCTTGGCAGGAGCGATCTGCGTTTTCCTTGTGTTCGGCRATGTCAACCAAACCGAAGTAAAGATTGGTGTCCTTCTCCCCATGACTGGATACTGGCCCATTGGTAAAACCTCVGCATCTGCTATAACTATAGCAGTAGAACGTATCAACAGCGATACCACCCTCTTACCTGGTCATAACATGACATTCCTATGGAACGATAGCCAGTGCCTCGCTGCCGAAGGTCTCAATCAAGCAGTCGAGTTCAAACTTGCCAACGTAGACGCCATTATTGGTGATGGATGTGATATTATTTGTGAGCCAGCCAGTCTCCTTGCTGCATCATGGRACCTTCCCATTGTATCGTGGGGATGCGAGTCGAGCGCTTTATCTGAAAAGAGCGTTTAYCCAACGTTTGTTAGGACGGTCCAGTCATTTTCGAAAATGGGCGMCYTGTTYYTRTCGATYTTTSGTTATTTCAAATGGAACGACATTGGCATTATAGCATCGACGGAGAGTATTTGGCARTTAGCAATGACAAATTTAAGAAARCAATTYCTACTGAATGAGAAACAAGAYATCAACATTCGATTTCTTCAAACATTGAACCCTGGCAGTCAGTTGGTCACCGATCGTCATGAGTATCTTAGTTTGTTGGAAACAGCCAAAGAAAATGCAAGAAGTATGTAAGAATTTTTGCTGTTGCTGTTTATTTTGTAAATCCATGTTATTTTATTTGTAAGAAACAGTGATCCTATCTACAGAGAAGAAACTGAATATTTCGGAATATCAAGTTGAAATTAGGTCATACGCTACTGCTGGGATGAGTTTACTTTCAAGCTTTCGTCGGTCGCCGATAGGAGAGTGAAGGAATATTTCGCTTTTTGAGAAAAATATATATAGTTTTATTCTCTTTTGATTATTTTCTTTTATCATTCCTTAACCGACTCTGTGTTTCTTTTGTCAGTTTTGATTATGTTGTGCTATGGTAGTGATATCCGAGCTCTTATGCTACACGCTCTKGATTTGGGCATGTTAAATGGAGATTATGCCTTTTTGACCGTCAATCTTCTTCCATCGGCCGCCATTGGMAACAATACATGGATGGGAAACGATGGCCGAGATGCGGATGCATCGCGCGCCTTCAGGGGGATCTTAAGCATTCATGTCCGTGAACCAACTACAACGAAATGGGAACAATTCAAGAAAGAAGTTCGTCGAAGAATGCAAGATCCTCCATTTTTCATTACTCTTGCTGAATCCGAAAAGGTTAGAAAACTATATACATTGATTTTCAAATAACAAAGAGAACATTGTTATTGGTCATTAAGCCCAAATATTAAATAATGAGGATCCCGGTTTTGAAACAATAATGGCAGTGAGATTAACACAAAACATTGCGCCAGCCCTYTAAYCGTCTTGCCAATATGAAAAATAACACACCTGATTTGTATTAATGATTAGGTTGAAGTTTATGCCGGAGCCATCTACGATGCCATCTATTTGTACGCAATCGCATTAAACGAGACACTGACAGCTGGTGGCAAAAAGAAAGACGGCAAATCAATTGTAAGTCGAATGATGAACAGAGAATTCGAGGGTAAGTATAGGAGTATTTAATTGTATGGTTACATTAACTGATTGATTGATTGATTGATTGATTGGTTGATTGATGGATGGATGGATGGATGGATGGATGGATGGATGGATGGATGGATGGATGGATGGATGGATGGATGGATGGGTGGATGGATGGATGGATGGATGGATGGATGGATGGATGGATGGATGGATGGATGGATGGATGGATGGGTGGATTGATGGTTGGATGGATGGATGGATGGATGGATCGATCAATCGATTGATTGACTATTACAAGGTCTTATAACAATTTCTTTTCTAGGAGCTTCAGGCAAAGTAAAAATTGATTCTTCAGGAGATAGAGATCCTGATTATTCTCTGAAATACTACGTTAACGGCAGCTTCCAAAATATTGCTGATTACAACCATACAACAGGAGGTTTTAACTTAAGAGGTACCTAATTTATAAAGAAACATGCATGATGACGGTACGAATGAAAGATTCAGCTGTAATTGTTGGAYTGTGAATTCATAAAWTTACAACGTTGAACAGTAATTCCATCCAATTACAGATGTTTTGTGTTTGTTTTTCTGTGTAGATGTTATTGTGATTTGGGCTGGAGGAAGGACAACACCACCAGCTGATCACCCTCCTTGTGGATGGGTTAATGAACATTGCGTTGAGCAACAGCAGGAAGGTAAAATGTTGCTTACAACTTTTTTAATGATTAACTTATAGAACTGGAATTATGATCAGAAGAAAACTTTGCACTTTTATTTGGGACAAATATAAAATTTAAGAGTCTTGCAAACTCCTCTGAAATTGCAAACAAATGAAAATTTAACAAATAGTTCAATGTGCATTTTTGTTCTGTACTCACTTTGGTATTTTTCAGCTTCAAGGTTGATTAACGTTGCCATTGGTAGTGCAACCGCTGGTGTCGTTTTCCTAGCTTTGATCTTTATTGTCATCACCAGGTATTTACTCTGAAAAAACGACGTACAGAACTGACGGACAATATGATAATGAGCACTTAGCTAAYCGCTTATCAGCTAATTTTGCAAATTTCATTGTTGTTCGTTGTCAATATTACCTTCTTTCTGCAAMCCTTCTCATTGGCATTTTACATTTTTGATATGTTATTTGCAGAAAACTACGCTACGAAATCGACCTGGCTCAAAATATGACATGGAAAATTAAATTTGATGATTTGAAGATACTCTCCAGTGAAATAGAGGACGATGCGGCAGATGAAGACGAGGATTCCAAGCCAAACTTTCCTCATTCCTTCATACCYTCCTTCCTGCAAAACCCCAAACCGGTAACCAAACGCTGAGAGAATCTTTCTTTTAGTTTTGTTATATAATTTGATTTGTCATTCTGGAAAATTGTTTAGCAAACAGCAGAGAAAGATAATGAAACGGTTTCACCACCACAAAAGCGGATCAGTGTTGCAAACGCYGCCAAAGGTTTTTCACCTTTGAGCAGAAATGCACGCAATCAAGAAAATATCAACATTAACCACGAAGGAGAGCGCGTCACCGACCTTGCAGAATTCCAGGTGAGTTAAGAAAATCGAGGTCTACTGAAGTAACTGCCCAGCAACAATTACTTCATCATCAAGTATGGTGTTATAAACTGAATTATTTTTGCTTTCAGGGGCAAACTGTGGTAATGAAAAGGTTGAACAAGAAAAGCGTTCATTTGTCGCGGACAGTCCTTATTGAGCTAAAGCAGGTAAAAAACTGAAAAACTTCAAACGCACATCAAAAATAACTGAAAATAAAAATGGAAGTACAATACTCCGATTTCGAGTTCTGGTTTGCTCTGTGTTAGCCTCAAAACCACGCAAAATATTCTTTTGTTTCATTGATAGCCCGAGAAAACGCATGGAATTTGAAAAGAAATACARTGGAATTGATTTGAAATCTCACACTTTTATTCTCACAATTAGGAATATTTTGCGCACAAATGAGGCTAACACAGAGCATTGGAGAATTCGAAAMTGGATTATTAGTAAAACTCAGCAATTTTTTAAATACTGAGTMTAAAAGTGTCAAAAGTAAAAACCTGTKAGGAAAATAGTTGACATAGAAAGACTAACTATGACTGATTCAATTTTATTYATGAGGTACGAGATATTAACCATGAAAACTTGAATGCATTCATTGGAGCTTGTATCGAGTCGCCAAACATCTTGTTGGTGTGGTCACACTGCAGGAAGGGAAGTTTGCAGGTATTAATACATGTGATAAGCGAAATAATTCCTCGCGAAAATGTATGTGGTGACGTTCAGAAAGGAGATATAATGTCCAATGGTTTTCTATCGATAGGATGTGCTGAACAACGATGAGTACAGGATAGACGAAGCTTTTAAAATGTCTATGTTTGTTGATATCGCAGCTGTAAGTACTTTTTTGTTATTYTACACAGATTAGATCATTTATTAAAAAACAGCACATACAAAATGAAGTACTTTTGTTGAATTAGTCAGCCTAAAAATCATGAATACGTTTGCCAAGTGTCAAGATATGGAAAATTGATTGGTAGTCCGTACCCAATCAAAAACGGCTACATACATTTTAAAATTGTGTTGCGTGCATTTGACAGGGAATGAAGTTTCTCCACGGCAGCCCAATCAAATTCCACGGTCATTTGACGTCATCAAAATGTGTGATTGACAGTCACTGGGTTGTAAAGATTACTGATTGGGGCTTGCATAACTTCAAAGCTGGYCAGGAGAAAGACAAAGTCGAAAAAGTTTCCACTGGTAATAACAAGATTTTATAAAAAGAGCAATTCACGATATTATATAGTGAGATTTATCGTTTAACCTAGAACTGTTATGGGCTGCTCCCGAACACATCAATCTTTCGAAACTCGAAAAAGGTGGGATGTCCCAGAAAGGCGATGTATACAGCTTTGCAATTATTCTCCAGGAAATCTCRACCAGAGCTGGGCCATTTAATGACTGTGGGCTGGAGCCACAAGGTAAGGTTGATTTGCTTTTTATGTTATTGGAGACCAGAGATGTCACAGTTTTCGCCYGAAAAAAACTTTTTATGTTTCTCACTGACTTGCTCGATWTGAACTCCCTTTTCTTTCTGTTTAATATAAAATCATTACTTTTTTTCCTTTTCAAGAAATAATACAGCGTGTTAAAGCTCACGACGACCCACCTTTTCGTCCAAAATTGTCAACCGAGGAAGTTCGTCCAGAAATCATGCAACTGATGTGTGAATGTTGGAATGAAGACCCTGAAGAAMGACCTCACTTTCTTCGCATTGTTCAACGCTTAAAGAAAATCAGCGGCAGTTACAGGTTATCGATAAACTTAAGCTTTTTCTATACATTTGAGCGTACCTATCTACTAGAATGTAAGACTTACAGCCTTCCCGCATATAGAGGATTCTATGATTAACCGGCTGTGGAAGACTGAAAAACCGACTGAAAATTAKAGTTCTTTACATCTTATACATTCTATGAAGATATTTGTACTATACT